CCCTCCCTCCCTCCCTCCTTTTTTCCCTTCCCTCTCTCTCTTCTCTCTCGCCCCTCCCCATCCCACTCTCCCCTTCTCCCTCAGTAAAATCCTTTTTTTTTTTTTAAGGCCAATCTGAGCTTAAGGCAATAGCTCACTTTTCACAACAAGCATGAGTTTAAATCCCCAAAGCCCACATAAAGCCAGACAAAGGGAGCAAATATCTGGAAACCCTGTACTTCCACATTGAGATGGGAGGTGGAGACAGGAAAATCCCAGAAGCTTGCATACTAGCTGGCTTGACTTCCACAGTAGGGAAACAACAGAGATGCCTATCTCAAGGCAAAGGGTGAGAACTGGCACTCACCTAAGGTCGTCCTCTGACCTCCCTCCAAAAACCACATTGAAAAACACACAAGTGAATACATACAAAGAAATCTAGACCTGATATACAAAATCAGAAACATTCAAGGGGCATAAGGCTTGTGGTGTCTTCCACTCCCTTTGTTCTTCCCTTACTAACAGACCTGGCTTTGGAGGCACATTCTACAAGGGAGGATCATAAGGGGTTTTCATGGGAACTCGCTGAGCGGACACACATCTGAAATGGTACTTCCTTTCTCTGATTCTGAAGAGAGACCTCAACTAAGTGGCCAGTCCTGCAGTTAGATGACCTGGATGCTTTTTGCTGTAACCTCTTTTCTTCATATAGATGATGGGGAAAGGACTTTCTTTAGTCTGTCAGTGGCTGCCAGCCATCTTCGACCTATCCCTTTAGGCTCTAAACTCCAAAGAGTTCCCTCAGCTCAGTCATTGCTGCTAGGACTCAGAGCATTGTCCCCGCCCTCAGCTTCCCTCCCCTGTGGCCATGGCCCCTCCCGCAAAGGAAGTAAAAGAGGGGCTGTTGCAAGAGGAACTAGGGCCAGGAGCCTGTGAAGAAGGAGTAGGTGAAGGAGGACAGCCATGCCAGAGCCACCCCCAGGAACCCTCTGAACCTGCACCCCTGTCATTACCCACAGGAGCCTAGACACCAGCCCTCACCATGGTAAGTTATTCAAGGGTGGGATCTGGGAGTAGTAGCCTAGTAGCACCCTCAGAAACTGGGGCAATGGTTATGAGAACCGCAGAGCCTTCAGAGACAGCCTCACAGAACAGCACAGAGCACCCCATGTCCCTCACCAGGAATCAAGCTCCAATCTGAGAATGCCAGGTCTGGTATGGGGACCAACACTGCAGCAGAGAAATAGGAGAGAAGGTGTCCCTGAAGGAATTACACAGTTGTCAGGGAGAGGACAAGCCCCTTTTCAGGGGCTTAGAGAACTAGGTTGTCAATTCATCTCAGAACTAGTCTTCCCCTGCAGTTTGAAACAAGCACTTCCCTCTCTTGGCCTCTGTTTCCAGAGCTCTTATTCAGAAGTTGGTCTAGAGATAGGAGTATTTGAGGGTTGTTGGGCTTTTCTTGGGAACATTCAACAGAGGGGTCTGTGGATTTGGCCACTCTCAATTCACCAGTGATGGGGCTGTGTCTCACATGAGGGCTGTGGGGTGGGATAACAGTGCAAGTGAAGTAGGTGGTTTGACAGTAACAGTCCCAGAGGCAGATGGTAGCTCAGTGGTTGGGTGCTTGGCTAGTATGCTCATGGTCTTGGGTGTCATCTTTAGCACTGAAAATAAGCCATCATCATTCCCGTTTAACTTCCAGTGCCAGTTAATATTATTACTAAAGAGGAGGGGTTGGAGATGAGGGAGTGGGGCAGAAGATAGCAAAAGATGAAAAGGAGGAGAAAGAGCTAAGAGAGTAAAAGGAAAAAAATGAGAAATGAGATGAGGAAGAGGAGGAGGAGATGGAGGACTAGGTGGAGAAAGGACAAAGGGATACAAAGGAGAAACCGCTCTCCCTACTACCCAAGGATGGCGGTGGAGACCAGAGATGTCACTACAAGTTCAAGTTGGAGTCTGTTGATGATGAGAAGGCTGGAGGATGGTCAGCATCACTCACAGGTCGAGACCTAGCAGCATCATGGCACATGTAATAAAAGCCAGTAATGGTCACACAAATCACCCCATAGCTCCACAGACCCACAGATCACTTCAGCTTTCAGTTTTTGTCATTCTGTCAGTGAGAATGGAGAGGGATAGTTGTTGGGGTTCTTGGAGGTTATAACAAACATGACTGGAGTGGAGGCAGGGAAGTGAGATAAGAGAGAACATCTTTTAGAAAGCCAGTGAGAGCTGGCTCTGTGGGTAGAATGCTTATTGCCATGCACATAGCCTTAGGTTCCATTCTGAGCATCACATAAACTGGGCATTGTACTGCATACCTGTTGTCCCAGTACTTGGGAGGTGGAGTAGTTCACCTCCCAAGAACTTGGGAAGGAGTTGAAAGTCCTCCATGACTATAGCACGTATAAGGCCAGCCTGTGCTACATGACGCCCTTTCTTTTGCAAAAAGAAAAGAAAAACAGGAAGAGACTGGCTACTTGAAGGGAAACCCCTCCTAGGCTGCCAACGCTGAAATGCTTAGTCAACAGACTGCTCAGCAGACAGAGGAGAAATGCATCAAGCAAACACTGAAAAACACTGGAGCCAGGTATAGCAGCACACACTTGGAGGCTGAGGCAGAGAAGTGTTGGAGGTCAGCATGAACGACCTAGCAAGGCCTTGTCTCAATAAAACCAAGATAGGAGCAAGCTGGAACTCAGCTGGTGGGGTGTTTCCTAGCAAGCAGGAAGACTTGGGTTCCATCCCCAGCACTACATAAATCAGGTTTGTCAGCCCAGAACTCTGAAATTGCAGATGGCAGAATCAGTAGTTCAAGGTCATCCTCTGCTATGTAGTAAATTTGAGTCCAAGACTTCATGACAAAAGACAGACACACAGGCAGACAGGAGGGAAGGGAAAGGAAGTAAAAGAAGACATCAGAAGAGAAAGAAAAGGACAAAGGAGGTCTTTAAGAACCATAGCAGTGTCTGGGGATGCTGAGAGCTTCCCAGAGGGTTTTTGAATCCCAGGATGCTGTTGAAAGAGAGTCTTTTATGGAACATGCACAGTAGCTGCTGACGCCTCTGAGGCTGGTCCATTACTGGGTTCAGTGGTAGAGATGGGTTCAGGTCATTCTTTCTTGGCTACTGTGGACAGGTCAATGGCTATTCCTTGTTAGGTTGGTACTGTTGTGGTTGCAATGGTGAGGGCTGCTATTGGTGGTGAAGGTTACTGTTAACAATGGTTCTCATGAGTAGGTTGGAGGTGATGGTAATCTGTGATGTTATTTTTTCAAAGATTTATTTCTGTTTTTATTTGTGTGTATACATCTAATTGTATGCCATCTACATGCAAGTGCCTATGGAGGTCAGTCAAGGGTATCACATCCCTTAAGCTGGATTTACTGTTGATTATGAGCACAGGTAGGTGCTGGGAACTCAACTTTCATCCTCTGTAAAAACATCAAGTGCTTTTAACCATTGAGCCATCCCTCTAGCTCCTGCCATGTTTGGTTTTATAGTGCTTTGAATAGAGGTCTCTTGTATCCCAAGCCAGGCTCACATCCATAATACAGATTAAAGATGACCTTGGAAATATGATCCTCCTGTCTCTGCCTCTCAAGTGATAGGATGACTGGCGTTGTTCACCATTCAGTGCTACAGAACCCAGGGCTTCACCGTTGCTTCACTCCACCAACTGAGCTACATCTGCAGTCTATTCATGTGGCATAAACTATCCTTGAACTCACAATGT